GGGGTCTCTCGGGGGAGTTGGAGGCCGAGGTCTCCGTAGGCGGGCATGCTGCCGTCGGGGAGGGCAGACACAGCCGTGTGCGTGCCCCTTACCGAGTCCCCCCGGGCCACTCCCCCTCACCACAGCCCCCTGTCACAGCCGGGACCTGCATCCCCCCACGGTGACGGGCTCAGAGCTTATCCCTGCTCCGTGTCAGGGTCCTGACAGGAAGTCAGGGTGGCTCCGTGGCCCTCGCCTCCCAGCCTGAAGGCTGACCCCAACTCTCTCTCCATGCCACTTTATCTGGGTTTGTTTTGTTTTCCCTTTTCCAGAGAGAGGTTTTTGCTGTACGGGATGTTCGCTCTCTGGAGAGACAGAGACAGAAAGACAGAAAGCGAGAAATCACCCCCCAGGGGGGATGGCCATGCCACAATCCCTTCTCCTCCATTCTCCTCTCAGGATCTTGGGCACGCACACACACGTGCCCAGCGTGACTTTAACCTACCGGGTCCGGGACTCGAACCGCAGCCGACTACATGGGAGTCCAGCGACATAGCCATTACGCCAACTGCTGGTCCCAGAAAAGGAAGATCTTTAAAGAGACGATTCCTGGGGATGATGAAGCCGCATCCCACAGGCCAGCACGGTTCGGGGTCTGGCCCCAGCGGTTTGGAAACCAGGCTGCGTGGAATGCACGGAGGAAGGGGAGGGTGGGACGAGCACACGCCCGCAGGGGAAGCAGCTTTCCTTCTCATTCAGGCAAGCACCGGACTCCCACGTGGCCAACAGTGGTTCAAGTCCCAGACCTGGAGGCTTGCTTTCTCACTTTCTCTCTCTCTCTCTCTCTGCTGAGCGCATGTGCCCTAGAGCAAAAAAGTAATAAAGTAATCATGAAAAATGAAATTAAATAAATAATTCTTTTATAAAAAGGAAGGAAGGATTGCTTACTATCGGATACGTTAGAGTCACGCTGGGGCCCACGTCCGCTGTGACAGGTGCCTGGATAAACAGGGACATCGATGGGGCCAGCAGGTGGCGTGGTGGTTAGGCTGCTCAGTTCCCACGTGGCCAACTGTGGTTTGAGTCCCAGACCCACAGTCCTCTCTAACCGGAGGACGGGGAACAGACCTGTGGGAGCCGGGCTGTCCCCTCCCAGCCCTGCGCAGCGGGCAGGTCCTCACCGAGTCTCAGGTCGCGGCTTGATTTGGCTGTGCCGTGTCTTTAAGATGCATTAGAGTGATAAAAATAAAATAAAATTCTCCAATTCTTTCCCATTCCCGGTTTATTGACACTTTTCTTTTGATTGCCACAGGACACACATGCTTGCCAGAGAGAGACAGAGAGACAGAGAGGCGGAGAAAGGAAGAAAGCACCCACTTCGGGCCTCGTTGTCTCTATCCCCGCCTCCTTCTCCACTCCCCCATCGCGCTGGGACTCTGGGCACACACACACACTGGGTGTGGTTCTCAAGGTGCCGGGCTGGGACTCCAACCATACCGTCAACGTTAACCACTTCACTATGGGGCCAGACCACGAAGGTGTTTATTTTTAAAACATTTATTTATTTAATTAATTGTATAATTGTTATTATTTTACAATTTGCTACAGGGCACACACACTCACAGAGAGAGACAGAGAGGGAAAGTGAGAAAGCAAGCCGCCAGGTCCGGGACTCGAACCATGGTCGGCCATGTGGGAGTCCCGTGCCTTGACTCCAATGCCACCTGCTGGTCTCAGACCAAGAGTTTTTAATCAAGAATGAACATTATATTTCGCCCAGTCCCGATAGGAGAACGGAGGAGGAGGGATGACAGCGTCGGTCTCCCCACGGGTGCTTTCTCACTTCTCTCTCTCTCTCTCTCACCCTCTCTGTCTCTCCCTGGTGAGTGCACACACCCTATAGCAATATTTTCAAAAATTATTTTATAGGGACCAGCAGATGCCATCATGGTTACATTGCTGGACTCCCACATAGTCAACCCTGGTTCGAGTCCCAGACCCGGTTGGTTAAACTCATGCCGGGCGCGTGTGCGTGCGTGCCCAAGATCCCAAGAGGAGAATGGAGGAGAAGGGATTGCGGCGTGGCCATCCCCCCTGGGGGTGATTTCTCGCTTTCTGTCTCTCTGTCTCTCTCTGTCTTTCTGGTGAGCGCATGCACCCTACAGCAAAAACCTCTTAAAAAGAAAGAATGAATTATTTTTACTTAATTGTATTTGTTATTATTAGTTGTTCATTTGACCAGAGAGAGAGAAGGAAGGTGAAAAAGCAAGCCGCCAGGTCCGGGACTTGAACCATGATCGGCCATGTGGGAGTCCAGCCCTTAACTGCCACACCACCTGCCGGCCTCTATTATTTTTATTTTTAATTTGACCAGAGATAAAGAAAGTGAGAAAGCAAGCCACGCATGGTCCGGGACTCGAACCGTGGACGGCCATGTGGGAGTGTCCAGCCCCAAAACCCATGTTACGAAGGTCGTGTCTCCTCTGACTCTTCCCTGTGCCCGTTTCAGACCCAAATGCGCCCATCAGGAACCTGAGGGTGGAGCCAGGAACTAGGAAGGTGACCTGGGACCGCCATGCAGACGTGACGGGTGTCCAGTGTAGAAGAAATGGCCGTGACACAAAGTCTGTGAGTCCTGTCCCCTCACACAGCACGGGACCGTGACAGCCTCCTCCAGGGAGCTGAGGTCGGCATCCGCCCACCACCAGGACCTGGGGGTTCCAGCTCTGAGCCGGGAAACGGATACAGAGACCGTCCTTTAGAAACACAGAGGCCGGGCCAGCAGGCGGCCTGGTGGCTAAGGCACTGGGCTGTCACACGGCCGACCGCAGTTCACATCCCGGACCCGGCGGCTTAGACTCACGCCGGGCGCGTGTGCATGTGTGCCCAAGATCCCGAGAGGAGAACGGAGGAGAAGGGATTGCGGTGTGGCCATCCCCTCTGGGGGGTGATTTCTCGCTTTCTGTCTCTCTGTCTCTCTCTGTCTGGCAAACACACGCGCCCTATAGCAAAAACCTCTCCAATGAAAAGGAAGAAAGAAACCCTGAAATGGAATTGCATAATTGCTTTTGGGTTTGTTTGTTCAGTTTAGCTGGGAGAGACACACACAGAGAGGGAAGGTGACATATCACCTCCGGGAGGATGGCCGCGCCGCAATCCCTTCTCCATTCTCCCGGGATCTTGGGCACGTGCGCACACACGCCCACACTCACCAGCCTGACTTCCACGCCACAGGGTCCAGGACTCGAGCCGCCGTTGGCCCTGTGGGAGTCCGGCCACGTAACCAGCACGCCACCTGCTGGCCCCTCACCTCCTCAGCTCTACACAAGACAATCCACAACTCCTTGTTCGCAGCTTGGACGGCCACAGAGGCCCACAGAGTCCCACAGCCCGGGGCTTGGACAACAGACCCTACCCTGTCCCCGTCCCGGAGGCTGGAGCCCGAGGTCCAGGGGAGGCAGGGCTGGCCCCTCCCGAGCCCTCTCTCCTTGGCATGTCTCCTTCCGTGTCCTCACAGGGCTGTCCCCTGTGCTTCTGTGTCCTCGTCCTCTCTTCCCATAAGGCCCCCAGTCCTCTGGGTCAGGGCCACCCTGGGGACCTTAACCACCTTGTTAAAGAGTCCATCTTCAGGGGCCACGACAGTTAATGCGCTCGGCTCCCACGTGGCCAACCGTGGTTCCGGCGCCAGACCCAGTGGCTTGAAACTCACGCCACGCGTGTGCGAGTGTGCCCAGAGCCCCCGGAGGAACATCGAGGAGAGCGGAGTGTGGTGTAGCCATGGCCCTGGGGGGATTTCTCACTTTCCCTCTCACCGACTGTCTGTGGCGAGCACACGAACCCCACGAACCCCCACGGCAAAAACCTTTAGAAAAAGAGAGAGGGACCAGCAGGTGGCATGTCTTCTTTCTCTTCCTTTCTCTTTCTTTATCTTTCTTTCTTTCTTTCTTTCTTTCTTTCTTTCTTTCTTTCTTTCTTCCTTCCTTCCTTCCTTCCTTCCTTCCTTCCTTCCTTCCTTCCTTCCTTCCTTCCTTCCTTCCTTCCTTTCTCTTTCTTCTTTCTTTCTCTTCTTTTCTCTTTCTTTCTTTCTCCTTTCTTCCTTTCTTGTTTGTTTTCTTTCTTTCTCTCTCATTTTTTTAAGAATTATTTATTGGGGCTGGTAGGTGGCGTGGAGGTTCAGGGCGCTGGACCCCCACGTGGCCGACTGCGGTTCGAGTCCCAGACCTGGCAGTTTCTCACTTTCCTTCTCTCTTCCTCTCTCTCTCTCATCAAATTTAAATAAACCAAGAAAGATTCTTTTAAAATGTATTTAGTTTTATTTCTTCTTACTGTTATTATTTATTTTGACCAGAGAGACAGAGAGATGGCGTGTGGCCATCCCTGCCAGGGGAGCGATTTCTCACTCTGTCTCTGTCTCTCTGGAGAGCACACGCACCCTGACACAAAACCCTCAGGAAAACACAGAAAGCTGCTCGCGATGGCCCGGGAGCGGGAGTGTCCTCAGTCGGCGTGCTCTGTCCCTCTCAGGCCACGAACAACAACTACTGCGTTTACAATACTCTGTCCCTGTGCAACACCGCCAACTACACCGTCAGCGCCGCCAGCCCGCCCTTCTCCACCTGGGTCCTGTTCCCCGAGCCAGGTGAGAGCCCCTGCCGTGTTCCCCTTACCGTGCGTGTCTGTTCTCCGCGCGAGCGAGGCAGGACAGAGGCCCCAGGACCGCTATTCTTTTCTGAGATTCTTTTCCTACAGGGCAAGCGACTTCCTGGAGAGACAGAGAGAGACAGAGAGACAGAAAGCGAGAAATCACCCCCCGGGAGGGATGGCCACGCCGCAATCCTTTCTCCTCCATTCTCCTCTCGGGATCTTGGGCACGCACGCACACGCGCACGGCGTGAGTTTTAAGCCACCGGGTCCAGGACGCGAACCGCGGTCGACTCCATGGAGTGCAGCGACCTAAGCGCTATGCCATCTGCTGTCTCCACGCTGAAAACCGTTGTGAGCGGTTGCAGATCTGCAAACTCGGCATGGTGGCCCGTGGCAGGTGCCTGAGGCTGGCCCCCAGCCGCTCCCAGAGCAGAGGAGGCTGGCCACCTGGGAGGGCTCCGGGCTCGCTGAGTTCACGGGGCCCGCGTGAGTCCCTGCGCTGGGGCCGGCTGAGCTGGGCGTGCACCGTGGGCTCCTTGCCCTGCTCACGGGGCCTGTGTCCCCCGCGCGCTCGCTCTCTCTCTCGCTCGCTGCTATAGGACACAGTAGTAAATAAAAATGAAGGGGAAAAGAACAGCTAGCGGTGGCAGAGGTCAAGTAAGTGCTACCGAAGGGAGGGGGCTGTAGCTGAAGAAGAGCACCATGGACGGCCAACAGGTGGTAGTTATGGTGCCGGACTCCCACATGGCCAGCGGTGGTTCGAGTCCCCGACCCGGCAACTAAAAACTCACACCGGGCGCGTGTGCGTGCGTGCCCCGATCCCGGGGGGAGGAGAATGGAGGAGAAGGGATTGCAGCATGACCATCCACCCTGGGGGGGGGGGGGACTTCTCGCTTTCTGTCTTTCTGTCTCTCTGTCTCTCTGTCTTTCTGGCGAGCGCATGCGCCTTATAGCAAAAAGTTCTCCAACAAAAAAGGAAGGAAGAAAGAAGGAAAAAAAAACTGCAGGGGGCGTGTGCGTGCGTGCCCAGACTTCCCCGGGAAGAATAGGGAGAAGGGATTGCGGCGTGGCCATCCGGCCTGGGGGATGAGTTCTCGCTCTCCCTCCCTCTCTCTGTCTCTGTCTCTCTCCAGTGAGCGCGTGTGCCCTGTACCAGAAAAGAACAATTGATTCTAAAAAGTGCCTTGTTTTTCTTTTCCTGCCGTCTGCTTCGGTCGGGCAAGCCAGCCCGCAACCCCGGGGCAGCGGCCCGCAACCTGAACTGCAGGATCCACGACGTGGATTTCCTGACCTGCACTTGGGCCGTGGGCGCGGAGGCCCCCCGGGACGTGCAGTACCACCTCCACCTGAAGGACTATGAGTAGGTGCGCCCTCGGGGTGGGGTGGCCTGGTCCGCTCCCCGGGGACCGCGCCTCACGCCTGGACCCGGTCTGCTGCCCAGGACCGGCCGGGAGGTGAGCTGCGCCAGCTACCAGGTGGACAGCCGCGGCACGCACGTGGGGTGTCGCTGGGCTCGCATCGCCACGGCGTTCGGCAGCTCCGAGTCCTTCCTGTTCCTGGTCAACGGGACCGCCGGGCGCGACAGGGTCCCCTGCACCGACATGTTCGCGGCCCTCGAAGACATCGGTAAGGACCCGGGCCTCCTGGGACAGTCACACGCGGCGTGGGGCCTGGGGGGCCTCGGCTCGGAGGCTCCTGACCGCACCCCGAGGACCAGGGGTCCCCACGCTTCTGGGCCCTGGTCAGTTGGTGCTTTATCCACGGAGAGAGGCCGGGGTGGCCTCGGGGCGGTGCACGGGCCCTGGGTGGTGCAGGTGGCCCGCTTCACCCTCCCAGGGTTGTCGCGACCCCCACGGACGTGCAGTGACTCCTCAGCCCTCCTGCCGGCACCTCTCCTGTCGCTGGGTCTCCTCATCCCGGCTTCTTCTGTGGCTGCCCATGCTGTTACTCCCACGGCTTGTTCTACCGTTGTTTCTAATTTCCTTTACCTTTACGCAGTCCGAGTGATGGTCTAGCACGGCTATGTTTATTATTTTTATCATTTCTAGTTATTCATTACTATTTCTATTACTGTTTCTGCATTTTTTCGTATTTCTGTTATTTCTAGGCATTGTTAGATCTAGGCTCATTTTTCTTTCTTTTTGGAGAGGTTTTCCCTATAGGGCGCGTGCGCTCGCCAGACAGAGAGAGACAGAGAGACAGAAAGCGAGAAATCACCCCCCCCCCAGGGGGGATGGCCACGCTGCAATCCCTTCTCCTCCATTCTCCTCTCGGGATCTTGGGCACGCACGCACACGCGCCCGGCGTGAGTTTAAGCCACTGGGTCCGGGACGTGAACTGCATGGGAGTCCAGCGATATAGCCATCATGCCAACTGCTGGTCCCGCAAACTCTGTTTTCTCTTCCTGTCCCCAGAGATCTTAAGCCCTCCGAACATCACGACTCAGTGTAACGCGACACACGCTTTCATGCAGTGGAGTAAGCCCAGTCACTACCACGACAAATTCACGTACGACCTTCGGATTAAAAAGGTACCCGTGTGCATCTGGCGCTGCTCCCCGCCTGTCTTCGGGGGCCTTGTGGGAGGCAGCGAGGGTGCAAACAGAGGGAACTGTCCAAAGACAATAGTCAAGTCGGAGGCCGGTCCAGCAGGGGCCGTGAGAGTTAGGGTGCTTGGATCCCCCAGGGCTGACTGCCAAGTTCAGAGCCAGCAACTTGGAAAATGACGCCAGGCGTAGGCCCGGATCCCCGAGAGGAGAGAGGAGGAGAAGGGCTTGCGGGTGCCATCCCTCCAGGGGGGGATTTTTTTCACTTTCTGTCTCTCTGTCTCTGTCTCACTGGACAGCGTAATATATCTTTGCCCTACAGTAAAAGTCTCTCAAAAAGCAAGTTTGATAAGCTGGGCTTTGGCAAAACTGAAAATGCCGGCTATTTCAAACACACTGTTAAGAAAATAAAAAGCCAGGACTGGCAGGTGGCATGGTGGTTAAGGTATCAGACTCTCCTGTGGTCGACCACAGTTTGAGTCCTGGACCTGGTGGCTTGCTTTCTCACTTTCCCTCCCTCTCCGGCCAGATTTCAAAAATAATAATAAATCATTCTTTTTATTAAAAAGAAAAGATTTTTGCTATAGGACACGTGCACTCACCAGAAAGAGAGAGACAGAGAGACAGAAAGCGAGAAATCACCCCCCCCAGGGGGGATGGCCACTCTGCAATCCCTTCTCCTCCATTCTTCTCTCAGGATCTTGGGCACACATGCACACGCGCCCAGTGTGAGTTTAAGCCACCGGGTCCAGGACTCAAACTACGATCGACGACGTGGGAGTCCAGAGACACAGCCATGACGCCAACTGCTGGCCCCAACAAGCACTTTTTTATATAAGTACTTTTAGATTGACAGAAAAGCTAAGCACCTACGGGTCCAGTCTGTGGACTGAGGGTTCACGGAGCCAGATTCCACATGGCCAACCGTGTGGTTTGAGTCCCGAACCCAGCAGCTTGGGAAACACAGGGACACGTGTGCATGCGCATGCCCCAACCCCACCAGGATGGAGAGATGGAGAAGGGATTCCACGGGACCACACGCTGCCTGAGTACCTTGAAGCTAGCTGGTATTTACACCCAGTCACTTCCGTAGGGCCATCACATCTCCAATGGTCAGCTATGCCTGTTCCGTTACTTCTTATGATTGTTTCTCATGAGACGCCCCACGTGGTGCATGACCACAGTGACTTACAAACATGCGTCCCTGTTATTTCTGCACCATCATACTTATTATTTATCCTCCAATACTTCAACGTATTGCATTTTCCTGTAAGCCTAAATCTGCTTCAGAAAAGGTCTACTCATTTGCTCAGTGACTGAGTATTTCTGAGCCAATCAGTGCCTCCCACTT